GTGAGGTTGGAGAAGCCCTCCAAGATTAAGTCCAACAACTGACCCAGCACTGCCAAAGCCACCACTAAACCATGTCCCCAAGTGCCACATACAACGTTTTTGGAACACTTCCAGGGATGGTGACTCCACCCCTGCCCTGGGCAGCCTGTTCTGATGCTTGACAACACTTTTGGTGAAGAAATTTCCCCTAATATCCAATTTAACCTTCCCTGGCACAGGTTGAGGACGTTTCCCCTCGTCCTATTGCTTGTTACTTGGGAGAAGCCACTTGTATTGCTATTAAGAGCAGCTACAAATCTGCATTACAGTTTTAACTGGGGACACAACATTGCAAGAAGCCTTTTAGGAAAAGGGCACAAATCCTAAAGACGCTACTCATCCAAACCTTGGAGTATTCAAGGGGCAACATGTTAAAGACATCACCTTGAACAGCTCAAAAAGGGAAGCCCCTTGTAGGAAACTGCTTCTTCAGCACCTTCTGCCCACGAAAAGAGCAAATTCTTGAGTTCTTTCTTTAATTACCAGAGTTCCTTATTTAGGTGACACTTGAAACAGTCGCCAACTCAACGGCTGGAACAGAGAGGTTTTCAAAGGATTCTCCAACCCACACAGGCAGTCCCAGGAGGAGGAGGAGGAGAGGGAAGGGCTCCAGAGGGGAGGGGGCAGAATACATAAACATTTTGTGTCTTTTATGCTAAGCCTGAAAGGCTCCAAAAGCCCAGGAGAGCCCATTGCAGCAGCACTTTAAAAGGATCAAAAAGAGACAAGTGTTGTTTTATATCTGGGTGTCAGCACGAAATGCCAAATAAAAATAATCAGCCAATCCTGTTTGAAAAGAATGGAAGACAAAGAACTGGAAATAGGTAATTTTGAAACACGTGCCTCAAGTCATCCCTGTCCCCTGCACACATGTGGGTTTACACACAGGAAAACTACTCAGGTACCTTCAGCTGCCTCAAAGTGCTGCAGGAGCTCCTGAAACATTGAAAGGATCTGTAAACAAAAAGCTTGTAAACACTGAAATCAAAGTGGAAAATTTCAGCTTCCCTGCGTTTTGTAGCTCAAGAACTTCAAAACGTGACTTTAAGGTTAATGTGGTTTTTTTGAACTCCTATGCACTTGGCATTCTTGCAAAATCTCCCTGTACAAGCACATAAACAGGCACGATGTCAGTATATGACTGTGGATGACGGTCATTTTCTGGAATTCCAAAAAATCATGAATGAAAAAGCAAGAGTTTCCAAGAAAAGCACCTAAATACACCCTCAGGGGACACACTTCCTTGCTCTTCATTTGCATTTCAGCCAGCTGCTTGCTGAGAACAGAGAGCACAGATTAGTCTGGGGCACATCCTCTCTTTTTATTCAGGAGAGATCAGATTGGGGTGTTTACTAAATATGGCCTTCCTACTTATTTGAAAAAATATTAACTGGATAAAAATAGCCAGTGGCTTCTGTAAAGAGACTGGCAACCTTAGGAACCTAATTGTTCCCAGCAGGAAGGATTACATGAATCACAGGGAGAAGGGAACAAGAGTCAGAGCTACAGAAGAGAAAACTGTCCAATTCTGCTGCAGCTCCCATGTTCTCTTCATCCCAAAACACCAAACTGTGAGGCCCAAGGGATCTCAGAATCCCAAAGGGTTTGGCTTGGAAGGGACCTCCCACTATCCCAGGTTGCTCCAAGCCCTGTCCAGCCTGGCCTGGTCCTTTTTTTAACACTTCTTTTTTCCCAGAAGCAGCTCCATTCTTGGATTCACCCCAGCAAGGGAAGCATCAGACCTGACTGAAGCCACCTGGAAGGTCATCCCAGTTAATGTGCTTGATTGTGCTTGAACTTTCTGCACAGATATTGTGTAAGAGTCTGTAACCAGACAAAATCTCTTAAGAGGATGGGAAGGAAAGCAGCTGAAATTTTAAAGCAGTCTGCCTCAATCCTCCTTGCATAATTACCCTTTGCTGGGGAAGAATGGGACAGAAATAGTTACTAGAGACAATAAATTGAAAAACATGGACATCCATCCCCCAAGATGTAATTTCTACGTAGAATCAGAATCCTTCAGGTTGGAAAAGACCTTTAAGATTGTTGATACATGTTTTTTTTACAGGCTGGGAACTTATTTTCGTGATGCTTCCATTACATTCTTCAAAGGGAAGGCTGAAGGTGACACTTGGTTTAGCATTTTAATAATAACCACGACCATTCCTGCTATTTTATGACCATTTCACGACCATTCCTGCTATTCAAGTGATACACTGTTCACTGTGCTACTGAAAAAAGTTATTTGGTGAAAGCTGGAATAGTATAAAATTATTTTTAGGTCAAATTTGGAGAGAAAGTAAATGCTCACAGCTTTCTGGAGAACACCATTAAAGGCTTTATTCCGTACCTCTTACTGGGGGAAAATTTCATTTTTATTACAAGTTCCTCCACACACAGGAGATGAAACCTCACTGACTGCAACAGCTACTTGCTGCCTCGAGTCAGGGTGCTGGATGGGTTTTATGCCTTTGGAAACACAGAACCTATTTACTCCACATGAAAAAAAAATAATCTTAAATATATCCCAAAGTACATGGAGGAAAAAAACCTCCTTTTTCCTCATCCCAGTTGAGACATCTTGGACAATTCAACTGTCTTTTTTTTTTTTATTACACTCACTGGAAAAAAAGTACTGAGGTAATAATGATATGACTTAAGATATTCACAGACATAGCAGAGGTGTGGAAAAGCCTTTCAGTCATGTTTCACACCTCGGTGGCTTTTTGGGAACAAAGCCCAAACAGCAACAGAATCTCCTGACACTCCCCATTCCTGTCAACTTCAGCTCACCTTGGTCTGCAAAGAACTCAGCCTCAAATTCTACACCCGGCCCTGGGTTCACTCTGTTCCTACAGGCACAATTCCATTTTAGTTGGGGGAAAAGAAAGACCCCAGGCTTCACACACCTCATCTCTTGTTCCAGCATGTCACACACCCAGAAGCAGGAGTGTTTCTTCCAATCACTTGGAAGGTACTTCAAAGATAAAAAGTCACTAGGATTCCCTATTTCCCATCATTTCCTTGTTGTACCATCACAGAAAAAAAATTGGAAGTCCCAGACTCCTGAGATTCCCACTCACTGCAGGGTAACACATCACTTCTTTCCTTACATCCAAATCCACCTGATTTTAAATGTGTCACACAGGAGCACAGCTATTTGCATCCTAAATATGCAAAGCAAGAGTCTAAAAGCAAACTTTCTTCCTAACAAACCCTTATACTTCGAGAAAACAAAGGTTTTCATGCTATGAACACATCAGGGACTAAAACGAGTTCTGAACAGAAATCAAAGGTAGTCCAGACAGTGAGAGAAAACTTTACCCCTTAATGTGAGCCCTCCTCTTGGAGGGGACGTGGTGTTGGGCAGCAAGAGAAATATCTCACCTTAAAGGGCTGAAGGAAACTTGAAACCACCTTCACATAAAATTCATTTACTGGAACACTGCAGATGCCTCCAAGGGCTCCAGGAGAGCCGGGACCTGGCTGATTGAGGGATGGTTTCATGGCAACTGGAGCCAAGGAGAGCACAAAGAGCAGTCCCTGACCCTAATCACCACCTCCACATGGAGCAAGAGCCATGACTTTACCCACGGGGTACTCACTGCATGATGCCTGACAAACTGAGCTGTCAGGAAGCCATTCACAGTCAGGGAACTTGGGGTTTTCTTCCCTAATCAAGCAGCTGACACCCCAATGTCCCATATCCATCCCTTCTTTAGCAGCTGAACAACCCAGCACATTTACCACCCCTCAGCAGAGGAAAAGAGTGGTCTGCAAGGTAAAGGATGACACTTTGCCTGCTGTGTGGGACTGTGCCTGGATGACCTGGAAGTGTCCAAGGCCAGGCTGGACAGGGCTTGGAGCAACCTGATCTAGGGAGGGTGTCCCTGCCCAGGGCAGGGGGTGGGACTGGGGGGGCTTTAAGGTCCTTCCAAACCCACACCATCCTCAGATTCTATGACAAAGAACAAAAACATTCACAAACCACCACTACAGGTATTACTAAGGATGGTTTATATGGGTTGTATCTCCTTCAGTATTAACTTGATTAGAAATCTGCCCTTATCCCTCACACAAGGCGAATTAAAGCTCTTAATTATTCCAGTTTTCCTTCTGCTAATGAAATGCAGCAGTGTCATTAGTGAGGCTTGTCAGCTACACTTACGTGCAAAGAAATGATTTGACACTGCTTTTGTCATCTAATTCTTCCAGGAAAAACAGTCAGAACGTCACTGTAAATAAAAATCCTTCAAGACAAAGAGGACAGATGGCAACACTCCCAAGGAATACCACCCAAAATATTTATCCTACAGGAGGAGAGGACTGCCAGCCCTGGGAACAGCTAATAGATCGGAGTCTTGCAAGGAGAAAACAGCCCAAAATATTTTCTGTTTGTGCAGAGACGCTGAGATACTGATTTTTGCTGAAGGGTTGCTGTAAATTGGTGGATCTGCCCCTCACATCACCATTTCTCACTCTCAGCATCCAGAACCAGGATCTACACGTAGCTTTGGGGAGAGGCTCCATTATTATTATCAATCATTATCAATTATCAGTTCTAGCTACAAAGCAGCAAAAGCATTTCAGGCAAACTTAGAAACTGGAAGCCTTCACTGTTGCTGCAATACCACACAGAAAAGGCTTGTCCATCCCTCCCTTTCCCTCTCCTCCCACTTTAACTACAATTCCAGGCTGTTAAAACATCAACTGTTAAGCTGAATAGCTTCCTTTGGTAAGAGTTAATTAGGAACAAATGTTATCAGAGATGCATGAAGCTACAAACTACTGCTGAGGAGACAACTACAGCAAGAGACAAAAACAGTGAGATGTACTAAAGACTTGAAATCAAAAGGAAACAACTCAAAATGATACACAAAACAAGGGGAAAATGCTCTAGTACAGAAACCACCGTCTGTCCCTTCCAAAGGAGAGCTGCCATGGAGACAATGTATAGTTACCTGCATCCATATCTGCAAAGAATGGAACAGCCAGTAAGGAAAAGAAGGAACCAGAAATTCAGTGTCTCAGAGTTGGATTTAAAAGTTCATAAGGAGAACAGATAAAGAAAAATAATCAAAAAAAATATTTATTCTAAGACACACCTTGATAAGGTGCTATGCTATGATATTTTTGGATTAATGTTAAACACTACAGCATACAAATTCATTTGCTATGCTATGAGAACATTAAAAAAAAGTCAAGACTAAACACTTGATACATTAAACAATGAACAAATTATATCTTTAGTTTAAGCTCATGAAGTTGTTTTATTCTCCCCAAATCCCAATTCTGCAGAAATCCTGTACTACAGACAGTGACTGTGGCTCTCAACAGCCCAACTGAAAGCAGCAGCACCACTGAGAGCAGTCAGCTCCTCTCCACCAGGACTGAGTCTCCCATACGGACACATCCTGGGGGCCAAAGTATTTAAGGATGCTCCAGAGCTATGGAACAGCTCCGATTATATCGTCGTGCATACTGAGCTCAGTCTGGAGAACTACAGGAGAAATCTCCATGAATTCTGAAACAGTAAATGAGATCCTTTGCTAATTCATTTCTGCATGATTAAAATGGATACAGATGCAGCCTGTGGGAGCAGAGCAGTGGTGAGGGCAGAGCACGTACCTTCGGGTGACTCCTCCTGGACGTAGGTGCCCGTCAGGTACCGGTGCACGAGCGCGGACTTGCCACTGGCCAGGTTACCCACGATCCCCTGGAGACACACAGAGGGAACAGAAACCCAGTGCATTAATCCCTGGGAATTGCAGAACATTCCATGAGAACCCTGAAATAACATCTCAGTGCTCGAGGAGAAAGCCCACACCACTGGAACAGTCCCAAAGACACCAAGACAAAGTTTACAGCAAAGCTGATACGGGAACTCAGGCTCTGCCCACAGCACTCCTGTGTTCAGCTGCCCATGGGACACCAGGGAACACAGAGACTTCAGGGAGGAGCCTGGCACCTCTTCACTGGGTGAAGCTTTCATACTGGGAACACCTCTGGAGGCTGCACTCTGTGATTCCCACTAATTCACACTGAAGCACACGTGATATCTGTGGCTGTGGGCAGACTCATCTTGCCACGTCCACCAGCACAGGATGGTTTGGGCTGGAAGAGACCTTAAATATCATCAATCCCACCCCCTGCCACGGGCAGGGACACCTCCCACTAGCCCAGGTTGCTCCAACCTGGCCTTGGACACTTCCAGGGATCCAGGGGCAGCCACAGTTTCTCTGGGAATTCCAGCCCAGGCCCTCCCCACCCTCCCAGGGAGGAATTCCTTCCCACTAATCCCATCTATCCCTGCCATTTGGCAGTGGGAAGCCATTCCCCCTCATCCTATCACTCCATCCCTTGTCCCCAGTCCCTCTCCAGCTCTCCTGGAGCCCCTTTAGGCACTGGAAGTGGCACTCAGGTCTCCACCAGGATGTGTTGAAGTCCCTGACTCTACCAAGAAGTTCCCAACTCAAACCATCCATGCCCAACACTTCCCTGGGAACATCTGACAACCACCAGCAGCACTTGACCCTAAAGCTCACAGGAGTTTTCTGCTGAGCTGGTTCACTGGCATTTGTTTTTCAAACCCAGGCAGAACTAACAGAAAGCAGCCCAAAACCACAGGAGTTTTCCTCCTGGAGGTGCTCACATTCCAAAAGACATGGAGATTTGCATTTTCTGTTGCTATAAAAGGGCACACAGTGCTGAGGACACTCGGTTTCTGGGGGAGGAGATGGGAACTTACTTCACCCTGTAAAACAAACCAAGCCTACTCTGTTCTCACATGTTTACTTGACCTTCCCCAAAGGTTCAGAACATAAGATCCCTGGAGACAAGATGAACTCTGCTGATGGGCCCAAGATTGCCAAACTGACCGAGGCAGCAGGAACAAGTTACACATTAGTGCACAGTCTCTACTCCATTTTCTTAATTCTAAACCCTAAGAAACCACCCTTCATATCAAAAATTGCTTACAAGTCCCATGTGTATGGACATTAACGTTATTTTATATTAGACTTGGGCCAAAATTTTAACTGCCAGGAAAAACAGAAAAGCATCAACTTGGGGTCCAGTGAGAGTGAACAACCTACATACTTTGGCCATGGATGGGGGTAATTTATTCTATTGAGAGACCCCAAATATTTGAAAGACATCAACTGATTTAAGAATACAAAGTTGTTTGTTTTTTTTAAGTATCCCAAAGGTCCCATCAGAATACACAATTTTACAGCACTTCGGGTTCTCTGATACGTTCCTCCTTATAGGGATCCACAATGCCTGGCTACAAGAGCATTTGGATATTATAATGCTGCAAACTGATACCAAAAGCACTGTGATCAGGAGGAGGAACATGTATTTCAGTGAAAAAAACACTATTTCATACAGAATCCCAGACTGGTTTGGGTTGGAAGAGACCTTAAAACTCATCCCATTCCACTCCCCTGCCATGGGCAGGGACACCTTCCACTAGACCAGGTTGCAAACACAGCTATAGAATCTACATTTGCATGACAGTTGTATTTTCTCCCTAGACAGCTCCTTCAGAAAGCACTCAGGAGAGATCTGCCTTCTCCTCATCTGGCAAAACAGGATTCCTTCAGATCCCACCTCAGAACCTACAAGGCACCACCTCTTTCCTACCAGGATCAAACGTGACATGAAAATCTAAGAGAACTGTCCTTCTCTTGTTCAGTGCAGGGCTTGGCATCACAGCTCCAGGTCTCCCAATCAATTGCTCCTAAAACCCAGGAGCAATAAGTTTTACACTAGAAAAAAAATCCGACTTCTAATCCAGTTTCTCTCTTTATCAGTATTAATACTTAAGGCTGATCCTCCACAGTATGACAAACATGCCAGCATATTTTCACAGAAGTCATATTCCCCTCTCCCATATTTTATACACACACCCCCTCAGTCATCTCTATTTATTTATGGATATGTCTGAAATGCACAAAGTTATGATAAGCATGTTAAGGCACAAAAATACCACCCTAACCCAGTTCAGAAAGGAGAAAATTCAGCTACAATTCAGTGCTCTTGTCACTTATGACTTGTGCAACACTGAATCATTTATCTGCAAGTGCCAGACACGCTGTAAAACGAAGCCAAACCACTGTGCCCACATCCTACTAAAGCCTGTTGGGGAAAAAAGCTTAAATGTACTGATGACACTTGGCATTTGAAAGCTGCCCTGACTGCACTTTGTGTATTTTTTAGCAGGACATTAAGTGATTTTATCCAGAAAGACCCCTCATATTTATTCCGCTTAACATATCCTTATTTTACATTTTGATACATGGGATCCAGGAATACCAAAGGCACTGGGTCTCCCCATGCTCTTGACCATCAGAGAAGCATCGAAATCCTTGGGTAAAACTCCATGGAAGTATCTGATCAGTACAAACCAACTACAGGATCCCAGAATGGGTTGGGTTGGAAGGGACCTTAAAACCCATCCAGGGGCAGGGACACCTTCCACTAGCCCAGGTTGCTCCAAGCCCCATCCAACCTGACCTTGAAAATCCTTTTGAACACTGGAAAGAAACCAAGCCCTGAGTGTATTGCTAAAACATGAGGCAGAGGCAAAGACTGGTGTTCTTTCCTCAAAGACATGTTGAAATGTAATCCTTCCTTTATTGCAGCCCTGGGTGCTTCCCCTGCTCTCCCAGAGCAGTTTCTATTCCCTTTAAAATTCTGCAGAGCCCGAAGTGTACAACAGCAGCCACTGTATAAATAAAGCAAAAATAAAAATCAACCAACCCCTCAACTTCAGGACCTGCCAGCCTCTGCAGAGAAGACAACCTCTCCCAGTGAGCTATTCCCCACATCCTGCTCAAGAGGGTAAAGCTGGGGCTCCTTCCTAACCCTGCCACGCCAAGTCTGATCCCCACACCTGCACTGCTGGAGCAGCAGGTCTGGCTTTCACATGGCCCTTTCCTTCCTCAGCCATCAGTGAGCTCCGAGGATGAGGCTGGAAGGCAGGGAATGACCCAGAGATGGACTCACAGCCATGACTGCTCCCCAAGGGCAGACAGGCAGCAAAGGCAGAGCACATTTCAGCTGGAGTTCCCAATCTGCCCTCCCTGCTGGAGCACAGCTGGTGCTGCTGGAATGCACAGTTTGCAGTGCTCTAATCCAATTATGACTTTTGTAATGGTCAGAGTTCTGCTTTCACCCTGGCACAGCCATCCTGTGCATGCTGACCACTGCTAATCAATTCTCGGCAGCTGCAATCTGTTTTCCTACCCCTGGTTCAGACACCACGGGGGCAGAATACCCAAGACAAGTACTCACATGATGCAGCCAGACTGTCACAAGAGAAAATCATACCCTGAGACCATCATCTGGTGCCTGGGACTCGTTTGTGTTGTGTGTTACAACAGGCAGTAACACAGCTTGGGTCCCACTTGCAAGCCCCAGGTGCCTTGGGGGGTTGCTGTGAATTAGCAGGGCTCAGAGAAGGGGAAGGGATTTGCAAAGAAACCCTCTGTAGATCCTCCTCAGAATAAGCCACCACAGTGTTGGACTCCTACCCAACCAACACCTTCCAGTCCCAAATTCTTTAGAGTTTTACTTCTGTGAGGTATTTAGGGACGTGTTTGTCTTCAAAATTACACCCCAGTGATGGGGCCTCAGTTACTCCGAGCTGCTGGTTTAATTCCCACTACCAGGAGGTCTCATCTCAGCCTCCATGTTCACTTCTCTTAAAAGGGCAAATCTGGAAAACTCCCCCACTCTGCCTGTGTTATTTTTGCCTTTTCTTTCACCTACATGAAAACAGCTCAGCCAAGGGAAGTTATTGTAAGCAGCTGTTAAATCACTGCTCACTGTTACAGTAAAATGTAGGTTTTGATTCACTAAACGAATATTCAAAATATTTTTTTTAAAAATTTGGTATCAATTCAGGTGAAGTCTTTCAAGACAGGGAGAGAAGACATTTGGCCCTTGAAAAAACGATGAAAAATTATTATGGTGAGAAAAAAGGACCTTTATATATCGGCTGCAAACTTCCACCCCCCTCTTACAGACATGTCAGCCCTCCCTTGGAAGCTGGTTCAAGGAGCCAGACAAGTTGCAACAGCAATAAAATACAGAGAGATCTTTGAAATATGATTATAAAAACTGAAGATATATAAAGACAGACCCCTCCCTGGAAGTGTCCAAGGCCAGGCTGGACAGGGCTTGAAGCAATCTGGGCTAGTGGAAGTGTCCCCACCGGTGGAACAAGATGATTTTTAAGGTCCCTTCCAATCCAAACCATCTCGGGATTCTATCATATTTGTGTAGAAGAAAAATGCTTTACTGATTAAAATTCCTTCCTATGTTTTTTCCCCCACAGTAGATTTAATGAAGTGTGAAAGATTCACACTTGTGTGTAACATTTTCAGGATGTTTCTCCAAGCCAGAAGTAAACACAAACTCACCACTTTCAGCTCCGGTACGGATCGGCTCAGTGTCCATTCCTGGCTATTTACAAAGGCATCTGTGAAAGAGGAGAACATTCCCAACGTCAGGATAATGACATTTAGTGGTCTGCTGCACATAATTTCATGCCAAGGCTCTGGCTGACCAAAATTCACCCTGATTTCAGGAGACTGACGGTCCAACTTGACAAACACCAGGGGTTTGGACAAATCATATAAAAAAATCCAGAATCCCAGAAGTGCCCATTCCACACAGACCTGCCCTCAGCAGTGAGTCCACCCATCTCTCATGCCCTGGCATTTGCAAGCCCAAACTACCTCCAGGCCTTCAGGGTTCTGCAAAGACTCTTCCAGTGTATCCAGGGTTAAACCATTTCCCATCCACCTTGACACATTCCTCCCCTACAGGAAAAGCCTTGGTCTGGTTGTCACACTAAACATCAGCAACTGCAGCTGCCACCATCCTCCCCACAGGTAAATGAGAAAATTTGCTGGTTCTAAAACATGTTATTTTCTCCTGCACATCACACTCAATGTCAACAACTGCAGCCAGCAGAGTCACTGGGAACATCCCTGTCCAGGGAGGGGAAAACATCTCTTTATTCATAAAACAGGCTATTTTTCTGTAGTACAACCCAGACAGAAAGAAACCACAGAGCCATTTACTTTAGAATTCAATCAGAAGTACTGGGGGCAGGGGTTGATTTCTTGAAGAATGAATTAAGTTCATCACTGCTCCCAACAGAAATCAATTCCTTAGGGCTGCACCCAGGTCCAGCCTCACTGGCAATCCCACAGGGAGGACAGAAATAAGGCTCTATTTTTCTAGCTTCAAACATAATTTTGCTCCTTCCATAAAGGTCTGGCCAACTGTAATCAAAAAGAGTGTGGTGTTTCTGATACAAATCCAATCTGAATATTGATCAAAGCCCCCCCAGAGCCAAGCAAACCAGCAGAGTGTCTGTGCCACACACACAGGATGCTCCTCCCAAGCAGAACAGCTCCCACTGTACAGGAATTAAACAGCAGAACAGCTCCCACTGTACAGGAATTAAACAGCAGAACAGCTCCCACTGTACAGGAATTAAACAGCAGAACAGCTCCCACTGTACAGGAATTGAACAGCACGGAGAGTCCTGGCATTCCAAACAATTCCTAATGCCACGGGAAGTAACAGGCAGAAAGCTACACCTGGCCACATTGTCCACAGGGGAGCAAAGGTTCTGCAAGCCACTGCTCCCCCTCCAACACACCCATCAGCTGAGGGAAAAGGTTCTTTCATTTGATCTTTTCATCTGGAGAATAAAGAACCTGGAGGCAATTCCCTATCCTCACTAACTTAAAAGACCATCCAAGCTTTCCCAGTGACCAACTGAAAACAATCGCAAAGCAAACCTGTATTTTCCAGTGTATCTCTATTAATAAATAAATTACTTTTGCTTCAATATTACAAAAAGACCCATCAGCCAGGAATTTGGAAGCCTTCCCCAGTTATATTTAACACATGGCTTTGTATTTCAGCTGTGAACTGACGCTGTACAGTGGGACATGTGTGTTTGTATGAAAACACAGGGAAAATAATCAGCATTTCGGTGGATTACAGATTGGAGCTGCCTCCCACACACCCGCTGGAAGGAGAAGGAAAACCAAAGGCTCAGATTAAAATGCTCTGAAGACTCAGGTTAACCTCTGGCATCCCAGGTGCAAGACAAGACACTTGGGGTCATTTGGCTCCTGTTCCATGACCTGAAATATCCCATTCCATCAGAACCTGAGGCCACAGGAAAATTCTTTCCGTACCATGCCCAGGTGAAAATCACAAACAAGCAGCAATTTCCATTTGGGAACACTGCAGTGAGACCTGCTGCAGGAGCCTCAGGACTCGGGCACTCCAAAGGGACACAGCTTGGGCGAGATGTTTTCCTCCCTTCCCGAGGGAAGGAATATTTTTCCTTACAGTGGGCAGTGAACTGGGGAGCCTTAGATTGACTATTAGGTCCTGACAGGAACTACCCTTCTTCCTGGTTTGCTCTGAGCTACTGTGGATTTGGGAAGCTGTGGCTGCCCCATCCCTGGAAGTGTCCAAGGCCAGGTTGGACGGGGCTTGGAGCAACCTGGGTTAGTGGGAGGTGTCCCTGCCCATGGCAGGGGGTGGAATGAGATGGGCTTTAAGGTCCCTTCCAACCCAATCCATCCCATGATTTCATGATTCTACCCTGCATTCCCCTTCATAACCCCAACTACCATTTACATTCCACAGCTCTGTTCCAAAACACTTTTTCCTGACAATTCCAGAACTGTACATTTTTATATATCAATATGTCCATATGGCATGATTTGAACAGACCTGCTTCTCCTTCCCCCATACCTGTGCATGCATCATTCCTTCCCTCATTACTGCAAAAGATGGATAAACAGAATCCCATTTTATCTGCAAGACTAAGCAGTGGGAGGACCAGCCAAGGCCAAACAACACAAGGAGGTTTCAGCTCCTCTGCAGATTCTCAGGATTCAAGGAAAACCATCAGTCTCAGGGTAAGTATTATCCCTGACTCATGGAGGTTTATGTGTGTGAAACAAAATGAGAGCTCTCTATTAATGTCAACAAGCTTCAATAAAAAAGCAGCACTGGATTTCCTCACCACAGAAAATTCAAAATAGATGAGGAGCAGATCACTGCTACCAACTTGGAGAGGTGCAGAAACATCTCCCAAGCCAAAGGGCAGAGGCACAAGGGTAACAAGAACATCAGAAGCCCTGACACTTTAAATATTATTTTGGAAGATGTGTACATTTCCAAAGCACAAGTCAGGGAGGAGAGGCAACAAAACACAAGGAGGTTTGTGTGCCATCACTGGGATGGACACTGAACTACCCACTGACCAAGCTGGTTCTCAGAGGAATTCCTCAGGAAAGAGTGATTTATTCCAAATTAATCCCAAGACCCATGGAAGTTCGGGTGAAAAGGTCAAATACTTAGAACATCACAGACAATCCCAGGGATTTGCCTTTTCTTCCTAAATAAAGGAAATTAACTTACAGCTACAGCACGACCCAAACACTGGATCCCTCACACCAGAGCCGGCACGGCCCAAAGTCCACAAAAATCCTCTGCTGAAGCACCAAACCCCCCAACTACCACATGTGGATTTAAACATATTGGAAGAGATTTGCATAATAAACAGAACCACATGTATGAAGTTGACTGTTTGCATTACTGCCCGACTGGAATTCAAGTGAACTCAACCTTCATGTCTCACTACAGACTGTACATATGAAAGGAATGACTTCTGTCAATAATTAATCACAGTTGCATGTGCTGCTCATTTAACTTCTGCATCAGTGATCAAAAGCACCACACACTCACAGTGTCACTCGTGTCTTTTTAAAGCAGGCACCAAGATCATTTAAATTGCATTCTTGCCAAGTTTACTTTTCCCCAACATGGTCTTCGTTTTTTTTTATGCCCACCACCACATTCAGAGTTTCTCAGTTCCCCTTCCACATCACTACATTAAAGCACAAACTCCAACAAGATCCTGGGCTATTTTAAAACCTCAGTTTAGTAACTCAGCTCCACCCAGAGGAACCTTCTATCTCAGTTCCAGCACTAAGAATGAGATGTATGCTCTATTTTGGTTCCCCATGAATCCCAGAAGGTTGGAAGGGACCTTAAAGTTCATCTCATTCCACCTCTGGCATGGGCAGGGACACCTTCCACTACTCCAGGCTGCTCCAAGCCCCGTCCAACCTGGTCTTGGGCACTTCCAGGGATGGGGCAACACATGTTGGGGTGAAATCTCAGGGGTTGGTGGCCATTCTTGGCCAGGTCTGTGCACTCCAAGGCACAGAACAGCAGACAGCTTCCAGAAAAGCCCTGCTCAAAATTTTCAAACAGAAAAATTTACTTCTTCAAAGCCAGGAATGATCACTAAAAACTAAATATTCACAGAACAAAGTTAAAGAGAAACAACATCCATCATTTGGAAGAGGGGAGCGAAGTCACACATGAAAACTGGAGGGGTTTCACAGCCTTTCTGGAAATAACCACAGCCCCAGCCTGCCCCAGTGTCCAGCAGGCCGTTTCATCCCAGCCTTGAATTTGAATGCTGGAAGCCCTCTCCTAAATCAACTCACTTTCCTGCCACAGGCAGCTGCAGCAAGGCAGCTGATCAGACCTCAGAGTCAACAGTTTTAACTGGGGCCAATTAGATTTACATCACCCTCTCCATCCTTTGGGCCCCTCTGCTCAAAGAACCCTCCCAAGCCAATAAAGTCTGTCTGTTAAATAATATTTTAGGAGAGCCTAAGCTGCCTCAAAACCATCCCAGCAGCCCCCCATGGGCAGTGCCAGCACAGCAGCCTCTCCCCCACCAGCCCTTGTGCCACTAACCTTGTTCTGCCCTTTTTCCCCCCCAAATCTCTCACAGCTTTCTCTGCCTCTGATCCAGATGAAAACCCAGTGGCAAACCTGACCAAAAGGAGGGATGAGGGAAGGGCGGGCAGATGTCTCTGCAGGACAACATGAAAAGATTGAAATCTTCCACAATTCTTGGAAAGCTTCTTAGCAAGAGCTTCCCTCAGGCAATCCCAACATTCCTTTGCTGTCCTTTTAAATGAGGAAAAGCTATAAATAAATAAAAAATAGAAAAGCCATGGGATTTCTCTGGAAACACTCAGCAAAAGATCCTTTTTGCTAAGAACAGGAGCCCTCAAAAACACATGAATGAAGTTAAAAGTACCAACAGCCACATCACACCCTGCTCCCTCTTCAATAATTTCTGCATTACAAGCAATATTTAGAGTTATTTCTGACTTTGAAATAAAAACCTGAGAGTGAAAAGGTACCGAAAATATTCCTACAAGCTCCCACTTGCCCACGAGGATGCACACGAGGCCACACGTGTCTTTCTTGGAGCCGTATCAAAGCAGCACTTTCAGGACATACTTCCCAAAGCTCCTGTGCTAATTTTCTTAGCAAAGAGGGAAATATGCAGCTTTTGGGTTGAGACTTGTGATACTCCTCAAAGATGCATTTTTCAGGAGGGGTAATCTCACA